CCCAAACTGTGGCCTATACCCCGTAGAATACCCCCTCCCCTGAGTAGCCTTAAACCTAAAAACATCAAATGGTACACGTTTGTTTAGATTTGATAAGATGCTTTCTCAGTTTGCCTTTAGCCCCTCCCCAGAGGCCAAAGCTCTTCGCCTTCCGAGTGAATGACCCTGATAGTGGCATAAGTGGCCAACTGACATGGAGCCAGTGGCGATATGTGGTGGGATGGGAGGATGGGATGTGTTTGTACTGGGCTTGTTTGTTTTGAGCCCGGGGCTGAGAAATGTGCCCGGCTCCTCTCAGTCTCTACTAAAAATACAAAAATTAGCCGGGCGTGGTGGTGGGCACCTGTAATCCCAGCTATTTGGAAGGCTGAGGCAGGAGAATTGCTTGAACCCGGAAGGCAGAGGTTGCAGTGAGCTGAGATTATATCATTGCACTCCAGCCTGGGAAACGACAGCAAAACTCAGTCTCAGAAAAAAAAAGAAAAAAGAAAATTGTTCTGGCTGAAGAATAACTCCAGTTCCACTGTGAGCTGGAACTTGAAAGGTAGAGAATACAAAATTAAAAGAGAACTTTGAACTCCCCTTTTCCATCTAGGAGGCAGGTTAATTTAATTGCTAATTCATTTTCTCATGGAAAATAAAGGTTTCGACTCAGGAGGCAGAACCAAAAGCTACAGAGAGCAACTCACAGAGAGTAAATTGAACACTAATGAAGGAATTGGCAGCATGTTCTCAGGTGTGTTTCAGAGTCGCTACAGGCTAGTGACAGCTGTGTGCCACATTTTCCCCATTTTTGAACAGAAGTGTCTATAGGAGTTATCTTACACTTCTCCCACCGTTGTATTATGAACATGCTTCTGCGAGGATAGCTAACTTGTTTGTTTCAAAGCTGTTCAGATTGAGAAGAATGATATTCAAGGAGCTATACCCAAGGGACTGTTCTGAGCCTCATCTATACCTGGATCTGATATAAATGATGAAATCTTGGACCTTCAGCCTGAGTGTGATGCTATAATGAAATGAGGGATTTTGCAGGGAGAGGGTTGAGAAGAGAGATGGGTGTATTTTACACGTGGAGGAATGTATGGCCAGAAGGCAGACTTATTTTCCAAAGATGGTTACAATTATTTCCCATTCCACATGCTCTTCTCCAGAACCTTTCCACTCTTCTTTCAAGAGGCAGACTATGTTCTCCTTGAACTTTGGTTAGCCTTTGACTGCCTTGTTCAATAGAGCATGGCAGACTGAGAGTATGTATAATAGCTTCCAAGACAAAGCTGAATAAAGGTCAATGCAAGTCTGCCTTACTTGGTGTGCTCACTCTTGGAGACTACTTTTATGGCAGGGAGGTTGGTGCTGGCTGTCAATAGGGAACTCAGGAAGGGATATGATTTAGGGGGTTCTCAATTTCTCTCCATCTGGGCCTTCTTGCTAATTACTTGGGCTGACTTTCAACCCCTCAGTCAAATTGCCCCAGCCCGTGCCACTTGGAACAGTGGTGATCCATTCCTACCAAGTCCTGTCCCATTTGCAGACTCCTGAGAAAAATACATGGTTAGTGTTTTAAGCTGCTGTTTTAGGGTGGCTTGCTACACAACAATAGATAACTGAAACACACCTGAAAACAGTCACATAAAACAAAAACGATCTATTTTGCTCACAAATCTGCAGTTTGGACAGGGCTTGAGAGGGACATCACTGCTCAGTGGAGGTTATGTGAAGTCTCCACTGAGATTTAAATGGCTGGGGGCTAGAATGATCTGGAGGTGTTTTTCACTCATATGTTTGGCACTTGGGCTGAGATAACTGAGATGCTGACCACAACTGAGACTGTCACAGGAGTGCCTGTGGTTGACTTATACATATATTTTAAGCTTCCTCACAGCATCACAGCATCACATCCTCAAGGTTGTCAAACTTCTTTTAGTTTTTTTTTTGAGACAGAGTCTCGCTGTGTTGCCCATGCTGGAGTGCAGTGGTGTGATCTTGACTCATTGCAACCTCTGCCTCTCAGGTTCAAGAGATTCTCCTGCCTCAGCCTCCTGAGTAGCTGAGATTACAGGTACCCGACACCACACCTGGTTAATTTTTTGTATTTTTAGTAGAGATGGGGTTTCACCATGTTGGTCAGGCTGGTGTCGAACTCTAGACCTCAGGTGATCTGCCCTCCTCGGCCTCTCAAAGTGCTGGGATTATAGGCATGAGCCACGGCACCTGGCCCAAACTTCTTACCTAGTGGCTCAAGCTCCAAAGGCAGGTGTTCCTGGCAAACAAGGTGGAATCCTCATGGCCTTATATGACCTCGCCTGCAAAGTCAGGTAGCATCACTGCCGCTCTGCTCTACTGACTGAAACAGTCACAAGTTCATCCAGATTTGAAGGGAGGGGACATAGGTCTCCCATCTCTTGATGAGGGAAATGCCAATGAATTTACAGCTATGTTTTAAAATTACCATAAACAAGCCTGGTGCAGTGGCTAACACCTGTAATCCCAGCACTTTGGGAGGCTGAGGCAGGTGGATCACTTGAGGTCAGGAGTTCAAGACCAGCCTGGCCAATATGGCGAAACCCCATCTCTACTAAAGAAATACAAGGCCAGCCGGGCGCGGTGGCTCAAGCCTGTAATCCCAGCACTTTGGGAGGCCGAGACGGGCGGATCAAGAGGTCAGGAGATCGAGACCATCCTGGCTAACACGGTGAAACCCCGTCTCTACTAAAAAAAAAAAAAAACTAGCCGGGCGAGGCGGCGGGCGCCTGTAGTCCCAGCTACTCGGGAGGCTGAGGCAGGAGAATGGCGTGAACCCGTGGGGGCGGAGCTTGCAGTGAGCCGAGATCGCGCCACTGCACTCCAGCCTGGGGCACAGAGCAAGACTCCGTCTCAAAAAAAAAAAAAAAAAAAAAGAAATACAAGGCCAGGTGCGGTAGCTCATGCCTGTAATCCCAGCACTTTGGGAAGCTGAGGCGGATGGATCACGAGGTCAGGAATTTGAGACCAGCCTGGCCAATATGGTAAAACTCTGTCTCTACTAAAAATAGAAAAATTAGCCAGGCATGGTGGCAGGCACCTGTAGTTCCAGCTACTCGAGAGGCTAAGGCAGGAGAATTGCTTGAACCCAGGAGGTGGAGGTTGTGGTGAGCTGAGATCGCACCATTGCACTCCAGCCTGGGCTACCGAGTGAGACTTCGTCTCAAAAAAAAAAAAAAAAAAGAAAGGAAGAAAGAAAGAAAGAAAAAGAAATACAAAAATTAGCTGGGCGTGCTGGCACATGCCTATAGTCTGAGCTACTTGGGAGGCTGAGGCAGGAGGATCACTTGAACCCAGGAGACAGAGGTTGCAGTGAGCTGAGATTGTGCCACTGCACTCCAGCCTGGCCAACACAGCAGGACTCTGTCTCAAATAAATAAATAAATAATGGCTGGTCATGGTGGCTCACGCCTGTAATCCCAGCACTTTGGGATGCCCAGGCGGGCAGATCACGAGGTCAGGAGATCGAGACCATCCTGGCTAACATGGCAAAACCCTGTCTCTACTAAAAATACAAAAAATTAGCCGGGCGTGGTGGCGGGTGCCACCAGCTACTCGGGAGGCAGAGGCAGGAGAATGGCATGAACCCGGGAGGCGGAGCTTGCAGTGAGCCGAGATTGTGCCACTGCACTCCAGCCTGGGCAACAGAGCGAGACTCCATCTCAAAAAAATAAATAAATAAATAAATAAATAATAAAATTACCATAAACAGTTTTACTGTGATAAGCATTGTTTTTCTTTGTATTTATTCTGCCCGGTATTTACAGTTCTTCTTGAATGTCTTTTATATCAGTTTTGGAAATTTCTCAGTCATTATCTTTTCAAATACACTTATATTAATAAATGCTAGGTAAGCCGGGAGAGTGGCTCATGCCTGTAATCCCAGTAATTTGGGAGACTGAGGCAGGTGGATCACTTGAGGTCAGGAGTTAGAGACCAGCCCGGCCAGCATAGTGAAACCCCATCTCTACTAAAAATACAAAAATTAGCCAGGCATGATGGCATATGCCTGTAGTCCCAGCTACTCAGGAGGATGAGGCAGGAGAATTGCTTGAACCCAGGAGGCAGAGGTTGCAGTGAGCTGAGATCGTGTCACTGCACTCCAGCCTGGGCAACAGAGTGATTTTGTCTCAAAAAATAATAATAATAATAATAAATGCTACGTAGTGTTGATGTCAAGGAGAGAAAGGAATGATTCCTCCAGGATTACCGCAGTATGATTTTCCAAGGTCTATTTTTTTGAAACAAGGTCTCACTCTGTTGCCCAGGCTAGAGTACAGAGATGCAATCACGGCTCACTGCACCAACCTTGACCTCCTGGGCTCAAGCAATCCTCCCACCTCAGTCTCTCGAGTAGCTGGGACTACAGGTGTGCACCATGTTTGGCTAATTTTTGTAGGGATTGGGTTTTGCCATGTTGCCTAGGCTGGTCATGAAATCCTGAGCTCAAGCGATCTGCCCCCTTTGACTTCCCAAAGTACTGGGATTATAGGTGTGAGCCGCTGTACTCTGCCCCAAGGTCTGCTCTTAGAAACAGGAAGTGAGAGGGAAAATAGATCGTAGTCATTCACCCTTGGAAGAGAGTATAGACTTAACTATTCTAGAGACAGGTCTCATCTCCTCCTGTCAAAGGATTCTTCTCCGACCTTTATAATGAAAAGCTCAGCTGCCTTTCCCCATATTAACACCCCTCTGTATGTTTCTGGCCAAAGAAAATTCTACCCTGCTACTGAAGGTTGAACAGCAAACATTAGGTGACCATTCTTTCACACTGATGGAAAAAGTCACCAGCTTTAAAGCTCACCTATGACTTAAAGCATTAACTAAAAAAATCTAGAAGGAAACACAAATGTTAACTGGTGGGAATGCTTTTCACTTATATGTGTCATATGCCTCTTAATCTTCTACAACAAGCAAGTTACATTAGTAAAACTAATGACAAAGCTTATTCAACAAAGTTACGTAAAATACACCACTAATGACAAGGACATGGCTTTAATGTTATCCAGGAGACAGCTGATTCACATAGGGTTACTGAACACTAGAACCTGATCTTGAATCTCTCATGTCAACAATAGACAAATGCATTACAATTTAGGGAAAGCTGTTTTCTGGGTACCTCCCAGGTGTTTGCAGAAGAAGGCTAGAATCTGCTTCCAGGCATCTACCTGGGCCTTAGAATGAGCCCTGGGCTCCCCACCCCACATCACATGTTTGTTTACTAATTCGTGAAGGGAAGCTGGGCACAGGGGGAAGTAAGGAGGCTCGATGTAATGCCCAGTCCCAGGGTAACAGATGATCTGGGGTTTTTCCTTTCCATGGGCCTGTAACCGTTCAGAGACTTTTTGGGCATACAACTCACTCCTCCAGTTATGGTCATCCTGACCGACGATGAGCAGGATGGGCCCCTGGGCCTTCTCTACTGGAATCATGCTGGAGTTCTCATACCCTCCTACGAGATCATTCCTTATATCCACGATGTCCATGAGGCCCGAGAAAGCTACCTTGATTCTCCTCAGGTCATAGCCCAATGGTGGAATGCTACTGTGCTTATAGTTGATGGCTTTGTTCCCACTGATCCCAGATCCATTGATGGAAACCGTGGCTGAGACATTCTTCAAGAATGAGGCCATTGAGAGACAAATATCAGCTCCTAAAGAAATGCCCAAAAGCCCAATGCCTGGGCCTTTTACCTGGAAGAAAAGAAGAGAGAAGAATCGAGTCAATAACTTATCCAGACTGGGCGCGGTGGCTCACACCTGTAATCCCAACACCTTGGGAGGCGGAGGCGGGCGGATCACGAGGTCAGGAGTTTGAGAACAGCCTGGCCAACATGGTAGAACCCTGTCTCTATTAAAAATACAAAAAAAAAAAAAAAATTAGCAGAGTGTGGTGGCATGCACCTCTAATCCCAGTTACCCAGGAGGCTGAGGCAGGAGAATTGCTTGAGCGTGAGAGGCAGAGGTTGCACTGAGCCGAAATCGCGCCAGTGCGCTCCAGCTCAGGTGACAGAGCGAGACTCTGTCTTTAAAAAAAAAAAAAACAAAAAAACCTTATCCAATTCAAAAACATTTTCCTAAAATGCAAACAGAGATGCTGCTAGCTTTAATCTGGGAATCATCCACAAGAAAATCAACCTCAGCTGACAAGGGAGTTTCTTCTCATGTGCAGACTATCTGGCTGAACACATGGTAAACAAATCTTAAAATCACTGAAAACCTTGGAAACTGATTTATAAACATTTCAGAGAATTATCCGCTAGAGAATGCTGAGCCACGGAGCCCATCAAGTTCAGGACCACATTCAGGTAGGTCTGACTGAAGTCTTCATGTGGCAATGCATCCAATAGTGTGGAACCAAGTTCTGTTCCAAGATGTGAGTCATTTATCAAATGATTACAAAGCCAGACTTCAGAGTAAGTAATTAAGTTCATTCTTGGCTTCTGAAAGGGGTGGACAAATTCTGACCAAAATCTGAGAACATACTCTGACATCAGGAAATTAAAATTAAAAAACAAGCATGCGGCCAGGTGCGGTGGCTCAAGCCTGTAATCCCAGCACTTTGGGAGGCCGAGATGGGCCGATCATGAGGTCAGGAGATCAAGACCATCCTGGCTAACACGGTGAAACCCTGTCTCTACTAAAAAATACAAAAAACTAGCCAGGCGAGGTGGCGGGCGCCTGTAGTCCCAGCTACTCCGGAGGCTGAGGCAGGAGAATGGCGTAAACCCAGGAGGCGGAGCTTGCAGTGAGCTGAGATCCGGCTACTGCACTCCAGTCTGGGTGACAGAGCGAGACTCCATCTCAAAAACAAACAAACAAAAAAACAAGCATGCAAAGACAATAGATTAGAAATTCAATTAGCAATATACAGATAATATTTAATATTACTAAATAAAATCTCATGTGGATTTTACAATTAATTCTATACCACAAATTCATCTGACAGAAAAAGTGGAAATAGGCACCTTAAGCCAAGGAAGTCTCCAGAAGAAATCTTTGTGAAAGAGAACAGAGCAGCATTTCTGCACATGGTACAGGTTATACTCTCTATGGAGATATTTCTAGAGAGACTGATTAAATAAAGGACATGAGGAGAACCTGGGGATGTTGAAGCATGTAGCACAGGGCTTCTTCGAAGTACTCCAGGGATATGTTGTCCATGTTCTTGGGGAGATCTTCAAAGTTATAATAAGCTAGAGCCAACGTAGCAAAGCCATGGCCAGCAAGGAGGCTGGCTCGATATTCCAACAGGCCCCCTCCAATACCAAAGATGTCAATGATCCCTGGGAAGGGTCCAGGTCCTAGAGAACAAAATATTATAAATGTAAGCCATTATACAATTTAAAAAATGTGCTTTCCTGGCTGGACACAGTGGTTCATGCTTGTAATCTCAGCACTTTAGGAGGCCAAGGCAGGAGGATCGCTTGAGGCCAGGATTTCAAGACCAGCCTGGACAATGTAGTGAGACCCTTTTTAAGAAAAAAAAATTAGTCAAGTGTGGTGGTGCATGCCTGTAGTCCTGCCTACTTGGGAGGCAATGGAGGGAGGATCACTTGAGTCCTGGAGGTCGAGGCTGCAGTGAGCTATGACCACACCACTGCACTCCAGCCTGGGCAACAGAGACAGACACTGTCTCAGGAAAAAAAAAAAAAAAGAAAAGAAAACAATTGAAACGAAATTTTATGTTCTGTTGCATCAGCCCTCTGGTTTTTAGTGTACTGATATTTCAGATGTCTATGTAGAAAGGGAGGAAAGAAAAAGAAATACCCAGAGATGGTTTTAGGTGAGAAAGGCAGTGGAGTCTGAAGTATGACCTGTGATAAAGCAGGACATGAAGAAGTGGAGAAGAGACTCAGTGTGCCTAGAACACTAAAGAAGGTGACATTGGTAATAGCCTCATTCACTGTCATCATTCTGCCTTAGACAAGTCAGGCTGATGCCTGTAGAGATCTGTAGGGTAGTGATTAATAGCAAAGTGGATAATGTACCTGACGACCTGAACCGCTTTTTCATCTGCAGAATAACAATACCAACTTCATTGGAATATTATAGAGACTAATATAATGCAAGTAAAAGCCGTAGTACCCAGCCTAACACTGGAGTGCAGTGGTGCGATCTCGGCTCACTGCAACCTCTGTCTCTCAGGTTCAAGTGATTCTCGTGCCTCAGCCTCCCCAGTGGCTGGGACTACAGGCGTGTGCCACCATGCCGTACTAATTTTTGTATTTTCAGTAGAGTCGGGGTTTCACCATGTTGGTCAGGCTGGTCTCGAACTCCTGATCTCAAGTGATCCGCCCATCTCGGCCTCCAAAGTGCTGGGATTACAGGCGTGAGACACCACGCCCAGTACCAAATCCTCTATTTTGGTAGAGTGGCCACCGACATAGTCAATGCTAGCTTCTCTGACCTTGCTCCGAAACCAAATCAGTGCTAAATCAGCCCTGGAAAGAAAGCAACGGAGACTCAGGCCACCGACGCTCACACCTCCCGCCAGCATCCCAGCTCACCTGGCGGCAGGAAGAGCGTGGCGCGCACCCTGCCCGCGCGCACCGACTCGCGCCGCACCCCCGGCGGGAGGAAGAGGCGCTCGTGCCGCGCCTGGCACAGCAGCCGTCCAGGTTCGGGGTCGTGGCCGTCCAGTACCTCCAACTCCACGACAAAGGGAATCTCTACGTCCCGCTTCAGGAAGCGCCAAAAAGGCTTCTCGGGTTCCAGGGCCCAGAGCAGCCCCATGGGCTCGAGTCCCGCGAAGCTGCCGCCCAGCGCGGGCGCGCGCTCCAGGTCCAGGTCGCCGCGGGCGTCGGCGCAGTAGCGCGCGTGGGCCCGGAAGAGCGCGCCCTTCTCGTCGCGCAGGGACGCGCGCAGCGTGACCCGCTGCTCCGGGGCCAGGCCGCGCACTGCAATGCGCACCGGCTCGTTCCAGCAGCAGCGGCCCGGGGGCTCCAGGATCAGCGTTGCTGACATCTTGGAGCCGGAGCGGGGAATCCAAAGGTCGAGGCCCGAGGCCCGTCCAAGATCGTGGCAAGCGCGCCGAATGTCCAGAGGGCGTCTGGCGTCCCCTGGTGCCGGGACCTGCCGGTGGCTGGCTGAGCAGTCCCAGAAAGCGCTTGGGACTTCAGACCGGTTAACCCGACGCTCCAGACTCGTCTGAGGCAAAAGTAGCCAGGCTCTTCTCCAGGAACGTCTCCTCGGGCCCCGGGGCGCGCAAGGTGTGGCGCCCAACCCACCCCTTAGAAAGCCTCTCTGCCTCACAGCACCCTCGGTTGTTGGAATGAAAGTTGTTGGATGATCGATTTGTGGTGAAACCAGAGGCGAATGAGATCAAGCCAAATTCCAGCCTTTCATGGGTTCCATGGAAGATTTTGTTTGTTTTTAACTTTTTTTTTTTTTGAAACGGGAGTCTCACTCTGTCGCCCAGGCTGGAGTGCAGTGGCGCTTCGGCTCACTGCAACCTCTGCCTCCCGGGTTCAGGCTATTTTCCTGCCTCAGCCTCCTGAGTAGCTGGGATTACAGGCACGCGCCACCACGCCCGGCTTATTTTTGTATTTTTGGCAGAGACGGCGTTACACCATGTTGGCCAGGCTGGTCTTGAACTCCTGACTTCAAGTGATCTTCCCGCCTCAGCCTCCCAAAATGCTAGGGATTACAGGCGTGAGCCGCTGCGCCCTGCCTGCTTTTTGTTGTTGTTGTTGTTTTTATTTGAGACAGGGTCGCTGTCATCCAGGCTGCAAAGCGGTGGCTCGATCTCGGGTCACTGCAGCCTCGACCTCCCAGGCTCAACTGATCCTCCTGTCTCAGCTTTTGGAGTATCTGTGACTGCAGACAGCGCGCCACCAATGCGGCGCTAATTTTTAAATGTTTATTTTTAGAGAGGAGGTGTCACCATGATTCCCAGGCTGGTCTCAAACTCCTGAGTACAATCTATCCTCCCGCCTCTGTAATCTCAAAGTGCTAGGACTGTAGGTGTGAGCTACCTACGGTGCCTGGCCCTCCATGTCAGTTTATTTAAAAAGCTTTTTAATGAAATATAATATAGGCCGGGCACAGTGGCTCATGCCTGTAATCCCAGCAGTTTGGGAGGCTGAGGCGGGCAGATCACTTGAGGTCAGGAGATCAAGACCAGCCTGGCCAACATGGTGAAACCCTGTCTCTACTAAAAATACAAAAATGAGCGGGGCGTGATGGTGCACACCTGTAGTCTCAGCTACAGGGGAGGCTAAGGCAGGAGAATTGCTTGAACCTGGCAGGCAGAGGTTGCAGTGAGCTGAGATCACACACCACTGCACTCCAGCCTGGGTGACAGAGCGAAACTCTGTCTCAAAAAAAAAAAAGAAAGAAAGAAAGAAAAGGAAAGAGAAGAAAGGAAGGAAGGAAAAAGAAAGAAAAGAAAAGAGAAAAGAAGGAAAGAAAAAGGAAGGAAGGAGGAAGGAAAGAGAAAGAAAAGAAAGAGAAACAAAGACAGGGAAAGAGAGAAAAGAGAGGGAAGGAAGGGAAAGAAAGAGAAAGAAAGGAAAAAAGCAAGCAAGCAAGCAAAACTATTGGAGATAGTAAAAAGATAAGTAGTTGCCAGGGGTTGTGGGAAGGGAAGGATGAATAGTTGGAACACAGACAATTTTGAGGGCAGTGAAACTATTCTATATGATACTATAATGGTGGATACATGTCATTATATGTTTGTCCAAAACTATAGATGTAGAACAATCACCAAGAGTGAACCTTAAAGCAAACTAGAGATTTGGGGTGATAATGATATGTCAGTGATGGTTAATCAGTTGTAACAGGTGGACCATTCTGGTGGGGGATGTTGATAGTGGAGGTGAGGGAACTATGCATGTCTTGGGGGGCACAGGGAGTGTATGGGAAATCTCTACCTTCTGCTCAATTTTGCTATGAACCTAAAACTGCTTTAAAATATAAGATGTAAAAAAAAAATAAGTAAACCACCCAGATAGCTCAGTTGGTAGAGCATCGGACTTTTATTTTTTATTTATTTATTTTTTTTGAGAAGGAGTCTCACTTTGTCGCCCAGGCTGGAGTGCGGTGGCGCGATCTCGGCTCACTGCAAGCTCCGCCTCCCGGGTTCACGCCATTCTCCTGCCTCAGCCTCCCGAGTAGCTGTTTTACGACGGAGTCCTCGCTACTGTCACCCAGGCTTGGAGTGCAGTGCCAGAATCTTCCAGCTCACCTGCCAAGCTCCCGCCTGCGGGGTTTACGATCGCCATTCTCTGCCCATCAAGCCATCCCCGAAGTACGCTGGGACTGACAGGCGCCACCGCCACCAACGCATAGAGTCGCCCGGCTAGTTTTTTGTATTTTTTTAGTAGAGACGCGGGGTTCATCCCATGTTAGCCAGGATGGTCTTGATCTCCTGACCCTCGTGATCCGCGACCTCTCGGCTCCAAAGTGCTGGATTACAGGCGTGAGCCACCACGCGCCTGGCCCTGAGCATCGGACTTTTTAATCTGAGGCGCCAGGGTTCATGTTCCTGTTCCTTAATTTTTTTTTTTTTTTTTTTTTTTTGAGACGGAGTCTCGCTCTGTCACCCCAGAGGCTGGAGGCCACGTGGCCCGGATCCTCAGCTCACTGCAAGCTCCGCCTTGCGGGTTTACGCCATTTCTTCCCTGGCCTAACAAGCCTCCCCGCGTAAGCTGGGACTGACACGGCCCAGCCCAACCTCGCCCGGGACTAGTTTTTGTTAGTCATTTTTTAGTAGAGACGCTGGGTTTCACCGGTTACCAGGACTGTCCCTCGATTCATCCTGGACCCCGGTGATCCCCGTCTCGGCCTCCCAAAGTGCTGGGATTACAGGCTTGAGCCACCGTGCCCGCGCCTCTTAATTTTTTTTTAACCTTTAATTTAAACACAAATAAAGAAAAGTTAAATTTATTGGATGGGAAAAACTCGAGTAGGTGTGGGCTTAAACATTTGAATTGATCCAAATGGCTAAATGTATGACACCAGGAACCCTCTTCTTCTTCTGGATCCTCTCTGGCCATTAATAAGACATCATACAGGTGGCTGTCAGCTAATTGTGGCTTCAATCCTTTTTTTGCTCATCATTGAGTACGAGGGAGAAGATTTCCGATCTCTAAGAAGTCTAACAGTCACCATAATTT